ACCACTCCTAGTGGTGTGGGCCTTCCCACATCAATCATTAGTCAAGAAAATGTGCTACCCACCTACCTCAGGCAATATGGCATTTTCTCAACTGAAGTTTCTCCTCTCAGATAATTCTAGCTAGTGTCAACTGGGGGAGGGTGTGGTTTATTTTGTTTTGTTTTGCTTTTGAGATAAGTTCTAAGGTAGCCCCAGCTAACCTTGAACTCACCCTGAAGATAAAGATGACCTTGAACTATTGACCTCCCTGTTCCACCTTCCAAGTGCTGAGATTACACGTGTGCTACCATTAGGCAAGTACTCTCCCAACTGGGCCATATTTCTAGTTCATCAAATTACCGTCTTGGTTACTGTTCTGTTGCTGTGAAGAGACAACATGACCAAGAAACTTAAAAAAAAAAGCATTTAGTTGGGGGACTGCTTACAGTTTCAGAGGGTGAGTCCGATATCATCATGGCAGAGTGTGGTGGGAGCAGTACTGAGAACTGACAAACTGATCTGCCCCTGGAAGCAGAGAGAGGAGTGTGGGAGGCAGGGAAAGGACAGGGAGAGAACAGAGACTGGGCCTGGTCTTTGTTTGTGTTTGTTTTTTTAAGACAGGATTTCTCTCTGTGAACGTCCTGGCTGTCCTAGAACTCACTCTGTAGACCAGATTGGCCTTGAACTCACAGAGACCCGCTTGCCTCTGCCTCTCAAGTGCTGGGGTTCAAAGCGTGCCCCTGGCTTGGTCTTTTGAAACCTCAAAGCCCACATCCAGTGACACACTTCCTCCAACAGGGCCACACCTCTTAACCCTTCCTAAGAGTCCACCAACTGAAAGTCAAGCATTCAAATATATGAACGATACTTTAGGGGCTGTTCCCATTCAATCCACCCAGTTAGATTTTAAAAATTACTGCTTGAGTTTATGACTTGCATTTTAAATTGTTAAATAAAATGTTAAATAAAATTTTGCTTGGGATTAGGGCTTTCTAACAATATCTGAAATGTCCCAAGCCATGTCCTCACAGGCCCTCCACTTGCCAACTGCAACTGGAAATCACCAGGGTCTGAACCATTCCCAGAAGAAACAAGGGATGTGGTTCATCCAGAACTCCCTGTATACAGATTACCCAGGCCAGAGCACTAACTATAGCCTTAGGTGTCCCCAGCCCTGTGGAGTGCCAGGATCACCTTGCACCTAGGCATACACTGTCAATTCTCACAATCTCCCAGAGATAGACAAAAGTGTGAGAAAAGTTCAAAGGGGTGAGCCACTCGCCAATGCCCACAGTGGTAACTGATCTGGGATCCAAACACACATGAAGAGGTAGGAACTCCTCTCACTGGTGACACAGCTGCCCCCATCTGTCATTCTCCAACCTCCATGACGATGAGGGTGCCAAGGAGGGCCAGCTGCCCCTCCCTACTCAGCACCCAAGGCAGTTTCCGCCATTCCCTGTGTCACAGAGTGCCTGCCACAATTTGCACCCTGCCCTCCAGGAATCCTTCCCAGATCTACTCGCACAACACTTCACTGCAAGGTGTGGTTTCCTTAAAGGGTCATAGCTGGAAGCTTGGTCCCCAGTGGCCATGTTCAGAGTGATAGGACCCCAAGAAGAGTTCATGGCAAGAGAAACAAGTCATTGGGCATGGCCTCCACAAGGGAGTGATTTTGGTCTCTGAGAGTGATCTGTTTTCTCAAGAATGAGCTATGGTGTTGTGGAATAATTTTTTTGTACATGTGAAGATGTGTCATTCTGATTGGTTTAATAAAGATATGAATGGCCAATAGCTAGGCAAGATTTTCAGACACACAGGATTCTGGGAAGAGGAAGGGGGAATCGCCAGCCAGTTGGAGGAAGCAGCTTGGACAGTACAGAGGAAAAGCAATAAAGCCATGAGACCAAAAGTAAATTGATAAAAATAGGTTAATTTAAGTTGTAAGAGCTAGTTAGTAATAAGTCTAAGCTGTCGGCAGAGGTTTTATAATTACTAAGTTTCCATGTCATTATTGGGAGCAAACAATAAGTGTTAAGAACACTTACTGCTTTGTAGGGTACCAGGGCTAGTTTCCCTGCACCCACATGGTATTCACAATTATCTATATATAACTCCAGTTCCAGGGGATCTGGTGCCCCATTCTGGCCTCCACAGGCACCAGGCACACATGTGATACACGTGATCTCAAAATACTCAAAAGTAGAATAAATACATTTTTAAAAAAGCTTGAGTTTGTTTGAAGATGGAGGTTCTGTCCCAGGAGATCCTTTGGGACTGTGCATTAGATAAACATCTTTTCTTCATAAAGACTCCGCTTCGGGTATTGTTAAAACAACAGGAGATGTACTAGGACATTGGGTAAGAGCAATACACCCTTCCTTCCAGGTTCTTCCTCCTTTTCTTTTTCTCCTTCTCTTCCTCCTTCTTTTTAAGCTTTTTGACACAGGGTTTCTCTGTGTGGTCCTGGCTGTCCTAGAACTTGCTTTGTAGACCAGGCTGACCTCAAGCTCAAAGATTCACCTGCCTCCCAAGTGCAAGGATTAAAGTCATTCACCATGGCAACCAGCCCTTCCTTCTAGCTTCTTATAGGGAAAAAATGTGCTTGTTTGACAAACGTCCCCACTTTTCCAGCCAGATGTCCCCATATTCAGCTATGAAAATGTACAGGACAGTGGCTAACAATTCTACCCCTCTCCTTCCTTAAAGGAGAATTCCTTAGGGTGTTGGGATAACATCAGCTCTCCAATATGCACAGACTGTGGTCCTGCCTGGCAAGGGTCATTATGGTGGATTCAGGGCTGGGGGCATGCCCAGTACATTCAGTTGGCCTGGTGATCTGTTTTTTTTTTGTTTTGTTTTCTGGAACTAATGGGAAAAGGGAAATCTTCCAATCCCACTGAAATTGTTAATCATGTTCCAGAGAAAGAAACAAACAAAGGACCCTGGAGTCAACCGTTCCTGAAGCTGGTAGATTTCAATGGCAAACTTTTTTTTTTTTAATCTAGGTTGCCTATCATTGGCAACTAGATGACACTGCTGGACAGAGCAAACTGCAAAAGCCGAGTTCCTCTCTGGTCAGGTTCAATCTTCCCTACTTCCCGAGTGTTTGCTGTCTGGGTATCTGGTCCACCCTCGTTCCAGGAGGCTCAGATTCCCCCAGAGGCTGGCACAGGCTCCAGGTAGCGACTGAGCCGAAAAAGTCGAGAAGGTTCCAGTTTGTGGAGTCCATAGCTCAGCGAGAAAATAAAACCTTGAACAGATACCTTAGATTCACAGTGATAATGAAGGACTTCCTAGTTCGAGGCCATGGTATGGTTCTCCTGACCACCAAGCTGTTTTCCAAACTCCATATGGAAAGTGAAAGGGAGCGCCCTCCCAGCCTGTGCGGTCCTGGTGCGCCACTGTGGAAACACTGCCCCTGTATGGGGGGCTGGGTGGGTCGGGTTTCCAGGAAGGGCTTCGGCAGGAAGCCAGGCAGGAAGGGGCTGGGAGTTCCTGGAAGGACAGCCCAGAGGCCTGGGAGCCTCCACACCAGCCGCTGGTCTCCCCTTCCCGACCTGGGGAACCCGCCACACTTCCTGGCACATGCCGGGCAGAGGGCAGGGTTGGTGCTGAGGCCCATTGCCTGCATGCCTTGAGGGTAGAGCTGTGGACAGGCCTGGGAGAAGAGGCAGCCGTCATCAGGAGACCGTTAGCAGGCAGACTGTGGTGGAGGGTTACTCTTCCTGGGCTCATGCAGGAAGATTGCCCTATGTCTAACTCCGGCTTGAAGTTTATAGAGTTTCACGTCAGCCTGGGCTATAAAGTAAGACCCTATCAAGAACCAGAACAACACAGCCTAATATTTTCAACAGCATGTGATCTGTCAGGCCCTCCGTGTGGCCCAGGAGGATCCTCTGTGGGGTAGCTGAGCTCTGTTCTCTCTAGAAGTTACCCTTCTACAGCAGCTAAAAGGGAGTAGGGGACAGGGAGACAACAAAGGGAGAGAATGGGGAGATGCCAAGGGCGTGGTTGGCAGGAAAGATGCTGGACACAAAGTACCATGAGCAGCTGGGAACAGACCACCCTGTGGGTACCTCCCAGACGTCTGTGTCACATGGAAAACACCAGGAGATCTATCAACAAACAAGGGGCTGGAGAGCTAGTTCATCAGCTAAGAGCACTTGATGCTGTTCCAGAGGGCCCAGTTTGACTCCTAGCACCCACATGGTGGCTCAAAAACACCTGTAACTCCAGTCGTACAGGACTGGTGCCCTCTTCTGGCTTCTGTAGGTACTGCATGCACATGGTGCACAAATATACAGGCAGAACACCCATTACACATATAAATAAAGGGGAGAAAAGAACAAACAAACAAGAGTAATAGGGGCACACTGAGAGCTGACCCTTCCAGCCTTCTACTCTGCCATCTTCATGGTCCAGGTGGCTCATCAAAGCAACAAGATGAGGAAGAGATGGGAAGGGCACAGGCTCCCCACACAGCCATGTCCACTGCAGGGATGCTGAGGGAGCATCTCCAGGGTGACCTAGCCTGATCTCTTCCTGTGAATGGTGGAGATATGAGGGCAGCTAGCACACACCTGAACTTTGAAGTCCCGAGCGCACACACAGGAGTCAAGCCTCACCAACCTCCCAGGCTGCTATCCCCAGCTTAATGATTAAGGGAAAGAACAGGGCCTGGTTCTCAGTGCATCATCAGGAGGTGCTGTGGGACCTTTGGAAGCAGGACCCTAGGTCACTAGAGATCTTAGAGTCTCACTCACATGTGTAGTGGTATTTTATTTGTGTTTTAATAAATAAAGCTTGCCTAAAGTTCAGAGAGTAAAACAGCCCCACTAGTCAGCCTTACAGACCAGGCAGTGGTGACACACACCTTTAATCCCAGTAGCCACACTTGTTTGCCATAGAAACAGGGCAGGAGTGGTGCACGCCTTTAATCCCAGCCCTAGAGAAGATTATAAAACGGGAGGAGACAGCTCTCAGACACAGTCTCATTCTGAGATTTCTGGAGGCAGGACTACCATTTTGGACTGAGGTAGACGTAAGAGCCAGTGGCTGGCTGCTTTGCTTTTCTGACCTTCAGGTTGAACCCCAATATCTGTCTCTCGGTTTTTGTCAATTGTGTTACACACATGTCCACTGGAGTGATCTCATAAGAGGGTAATAGGAAGACGCACAGCTCCACCCAGCGCCTGCCTCCCAGCTTTCAGAGGAAAAGCTGACCCTTGGCACAGAGCCTAGCTGTACCTTTCTTCCCTAAGTTGCTGGTTCTTAGGGTTTTGTTACAGTAACAAAGAGCTGGCCTACTTAAAGCCTCTGGCCTCAAGTCCCCTCCAGATCCCTCCCAGGCTAGCTCCAGTCATGGTGAGCCTTCGGAGGGACTGTCACCTCTTCCTGCTTCTCACAGATGACACTGAGTGATTCACAAGTTTGGTCGTCTCCCTTCGTCTGTCCATGCTTTCATTATTCATGCCCTGGACCCTCCAGGCCTCATATAAGGGTTCAGACCCCAGCATCAGCCACTCGGGCACAAATGCCATCCCAGCTTGTCTTATGGGGCCAGATGTCAGGGCTTCGACAGACAATGTCCTTAGAAATATCTGACAGAGTTCAGGACAAATTTGTCACTTTTGGGAAGTCTTTATAAGGGTGGACTCCATAGAAGGACAGATGCAAGCAGCCAGAACAGACTGGTTTGGTGACCCCAGCTAAGCCCCTGGATTCACCCACACCTGAAGCAAGCTTTGGGGAGTGCTTGGGTCTCTGTCACCTATGACCTGAGTGCTCCACAGGCAAGACATTTAGAAGTGGGCCCAAGGGTGACAGGGCCTTAGGGAGAACAGAAGAGCTGGACACGCATACGGCACAGTCACCCCCTTCTGGCGGCAGTGAGCCGGCGCTCTGACATCTCCAAAAGAAAATTTCCAGTCACAGACTGAGAGATCCATGTTTCCGAGAGCTCAGCCCTGAGTGTGGCCAGCAGGTGGAGGCCAGGTCTGTCCCCACTGCTCCTGAGGAAAGCAGGAAGGTGCTGTCATTCTGAACCAGCTAAGGTTGAGCTACCCTGTTCTGAGTCTCCTCATAATCCACGGTGCAGGCCTGGAGCCACCACGTCTTCCCTCCCGGGTGCACAGCAGACCCACATGTTTGCTGGGTTTGCTCACTTCTGCCCTGAGTTCCAGGAGAAGCACGGCACACGACAGGAGAGACACAGCTCAGTGGCCTGCTGGACTGGCCTCCAGGCAAAGAAATTCCCTAGCTGATGTCTGTGGGCAGGGGTGGAGAGATAGGAGGACCGGAATAAAAGGGGCTGGTGGTCAAGGAAGACTTCTTTGGGGAGGGGTAAGTCCAGCTTGAGGGAAATGGATTTTCAGGCCAAAACTTGGTTCATCTCTGGTCATCGTGGCTGCAGGTTCTTCGTGAGACTGATGAGCAGAACCCTGGACAAAGTTGGAGGAGAGGTCAGGGTGGAGAAGGGATGGGGGCTACGGGAGCTTCCAGATAACCAAGCCCGTGCTTCGTCAACATGGCAACTGTCCGGGATCACTAATGAGGCCCTTGCCATTAACGTGGCCAATGTCGGGTGACGTGCTCAAACTCGGGTGACCTGTGTTCTGTTCCCTGTGAGGCTGGACCAACACACATGCCATCAGGAGTCACAGAGTACAGAAGACAAGTCCCAAGGGGAGAGCAGAATCAAGCAAGTATGGTGTCCCGCCATTGAGGGAAGAGAAGGCAGGGGCCAAGGAAGAAATTTCAGAGCCCCCACCCCACAACACATTCCAGGTCAATAGCTCTCCGAATCAGGCAACAGAGCCTGGCCTGACTAGCTCAGCTCTATAGACTGATGGGCAGCGGAAATCTGGACACATTTTGCTCAGGTCAAGAGACACCTAAATACCATTCCTTCCGCTCAGCTCAGTTCCCCCTCTTGGCTCACTTCTATGGCTTCACTTTCCTCCTGGGACAAGATGGCTGCAGCAGCCCCAGCCCTCATGTCTCCTCAGCCTAGAGGTCACCAGGAACAGGGATATCTTTGGCTAACGTTGTCTCTAAACGTGTGGCTGTGAGCAGGACAAGGCAGGGCATGGGCTAACTATGACTGCAATGACCTCCAGAGCCAAATGGGGACCTGGTCAGTCAAATCTTATTGTTCAGTGTAGGCTAAGGGTGGTTAGGCTCCCAGAGGGGTGGGGGGAGTCAGGAGGAGTTAGAAAGAGAAGAAATAATGGTGGTCCATCAAGGCTTGTCACTGAGACCTGAGAGCCACAGTACCACAGGATTGCCAACAATACCTCAGGAGTCCTCGAGCTCACCCTGACTGCCTACAGAACCTCCCACAGGCAGCGTATGCATCCTCATCACTGTCCCTGACAGTGTCTCTCCACAGCGACAGCTACGGGGGCGCTACCACGCCTCCTGGACTCTCAGTAGAAGTGCTCCAGGAAAAGACAGCGGCCGTGCATTCCCCTTGAGGTGGGCCAGGAGACTTGACATCTGTTGTGACCCCAGAACTTGGAAGGATAACGCAGGAAGGTTCTGCACATGTTTGAACTCCACCTGGGATGAGACCCTGTTTCAAAGAAACAGAAAAGTAAATGAACATATCAAGTCTGAGGCAGGAGCATGCTGTGCAAAGGCCCCAGGCAGGTGTGTGCTGTGCAAAGGCCCCAGGCAGGTGTGTGCTGTGCAAAGGCCCCAGGCAGTTACATATGATAGATTTGGGGATGTGGGGAAGCTGGTGGTCCAGTGGAAGGTGGAGGGTACTCAGCTTTCCCCTGAGCTACATGGGACCCTGGAAAGGTGGATCAGAAGGGGGATTCTGGCCACATAGTATCCTACTGGCTGAAAATAAAGTCTAGGGAGCAGCTGGAGTGAGGGGGCAGGGAGCCTGAGAGCTGGTGCAGTTAGGAAGATGGGGTAGTTACAAGGGTGATTAGTGTTGAAGGTCACTGTGGCCCTGTAGCGGCTGTCCAGCCCAGAAGACAGCCCTGGTTCCCATGACCCAGCCTCATGTTGACGGAGTCTTGGGGTCTTGTGCCTGGTCACTTGAGGATGGGCCCCTCCTGGGCACCCAGCTGTTGCCTGGCTTCTCAGGGCCACAGAGGAGGAGGACCAGCAGATGTGATGTTCAGGAAGGAAGCTCTCACCGTAACAGTCCCAAGTCGGGCACCAGGAAGCTGCCCTCGTGCCCTCACTGGCAGTGGTCCAGGAAAAGCCAGAGGAGAACAGGAAGGGAAGAGGGGAGGCAAGCGTAGAAGCAGCTGTGGAATTAGGGGTAGCTGAGTCAGGGGTCCACACAGCCTTTGGCTCCACAGTGTGAGCCTGCCGGTGGGGCTGTGGCTGGCAGTGTGCCTAGCACCACAATGCACTGCGGGCCGGAATTCCTGCAGAACGCTTTGTTCTGAGGCAGCCCTCAAGTTCTGGGGACCTGCACAGGGTGGGTGGTGGCCAGAGCAAGATCTCGGGAAGTCCCCGGAGGGTCCAAGCTGGGCACTGCCCCATGGTGCTGCCCCCACCCTCCCCAGGCACCTCCACCCACGGCGCCACTACATCTCCCAGGCCCGCCACGCTGGAGCCGTGGAGACACTGAAGCCTATCCAGCTGGACAGGCTGTGTGGACTGAAGTTACACATAGCCCCCCAGTTTCCTGTGACCATACCACACCACAACCAAAACCACAGCCTGTGCTTTCTGACCCCATCCAGTATACATGCCCCAGAGCCAGCTGATGGACAACACACTGGTTGTTGTCATATGGGTCCCCCAGGAGAACTCTGACTCCAGCTGGCTGGGTGACACCCCGAGAATGACCTAACTTCTCCCGTCTTTAAATCCCTCTGCTTTGCAGCAGGCCTCAAGGAAAGGCGTCTGTGAGAACTGACCAACTGTGATTTCCAGAAGAGTCTTGAAGAAGGTGCACGACTTTCACTAGCAAGCTTTGGGGTGCTCTGGTTTGTTAGCAGTTTTTAAGACAAGTGCCGTCTCTTTTCTGCACTGGGATTGCTCTGAACTTCACCTGCGGGGAGCGCGGGCTGCTGGTCAGGTCTATTCTTTACCAAAGGAGTCTGAGGCAGGGGAGAGACAAATCACTCAGACTGCAGTGCCGTGGAATGCCTGGTATTCAGCCTGGAGGCCTGGCCCAGGTCCACTTCCATAGCACTGCAGCCCACGCAGACTGCAGGCCCAGGGCTAAGGCTTAAGCTGATCTCCCCAGTCAAACCTGAGCAGGGAGGCCGGAGTCCAGAGGAAAAGCTGACTTTACAGTCCTCTCAGGGGGGGCATCCTGTGTGTGTGTGTGTGTGTGTGTGTGTGTGTGTGTGTGTGTTTGTAGACTTCTGTGTCCTTGTGTGTGTGTATGGTGTATGTGGTGTGGCATGGGGTATGCGTACAAGGGAAGAAGCTGGAAGAGTATGTCTGTGTAAATGTGTGCTGTATGTGAAACTGATAGTGTCTGTGTGAGTGTGCAGCGTTGTATGCATGTGTGAGGGCATGTGTGGTGTGTATGTGGGGTCGTGCACATGTGTGGTATTGTGTGGTGTTGTATATGTGCCTAAGGTGTATGTGTGTGTGAAGGTGTGTGGTATAGCGTATGTTCATGTGAAGACACATGTGGCTTATGTGTTTGAGTGTGTGCTAGTGAGTATGCCCATGTTCCAGGGGTGTCTGAGTAGAGCTGGTGAGCTCACAGTGTCTGAGGTGCCATGACAGAACCCAGCACTGTGCAATTGATCAGAACTCAACCGTTTTCCTAACCCTAACTGCCACGGCATGGCTGCCACCTCCAGCTGGTCCTGGAGCTTCTGTAGGCCGCAGGAAGCAGGTGCTTCTGGAATACTTCCTGCTAGCAGGCTGTAGCAAGCGGGCAAGGTCGCCGTGCTCTTGATTAATGTCCCTGGAGCCCAGCTGCATCTAGCTGGCTGGAAGCCCACGACCACTGGCCACAAAGCCAGTCTCAATATGGACAGCCCAAGAGCCCCACCATCCCCACCTTCCCCAGCCTGCAGTGTGTCTCAGGCAGTGCCCCTGGCTAAGCAGTCCAGCATGCTGTGCACTCTTGCAACTCTGTCAGGAAGATTCTGAGCCATCTGATTTGCAGAGCTGGTGCAATTGGTCTCTGAGAAGTTGAAGGGAGCAGCCTCTGTGCTCCTTACACCATCTCTGCATCTCACAACCCCTTCTGCACCGTACACCCCCCCCCCTGCACCATATACCCTCTCTCTGCACCTACACCCTCCCCTACATCCTCTCCACCAACCTTGTGTCTTCTCCCTAATCCAATAGAGGACACTGGCAACTCCCAGGTCAGAAGGGGTGTGCAGGCTGAGCTGTATTAGGAGGGTCTTCAGGGCTGCCATGTGATAGAGTTGGGGTTACATTGAGGACAATGTCCCAACAAAGGAATAAACTAGGGTCTGGGACACTAATTAGTGGTAGAGTCCTTGCCTAGCATGTGCGAGGCCCGGGGACACAGTTCTAATACCTCCAAGACAAAAGCAAACAAACCAGGATGAGTAAAATGACCCAACTTTTCCCAGGGGTGTCTGGCTCAAATGTTCACTTTTCCTTTACATAATCTAAGATGCTGGGGTAGAGCAATTTGAGTCCCCCACTGACTGCTTTTACACACTTCCTTGTGCCCAGGGCCTTGAACTGACCATCAAGCACCTGGTTCAGACAGACATGGTGTCTCCAGACTTTGAGCATTCCACAGAAGCTTCTAGAAGCTACACAGCAGCCATAGTAGCTACAGTACAACTCTGCCCCATCCCAGCAGCAACTGCTTCAAACCATTTGGACGTTTTCTTTTAACTTTTTCGAATCACAAGCCTCCATGAATTCCTGGGGACACTTTTCCCCAGGCCTGGTGGGAGGCACCTCCCCTGTGATTGGTAGAAACACAATTCTTCATTTGCATGAGAGGTTGAACTGTGATTGATGCTAATCTACCTTCATTGCAGGCAGGCTGTCTGGGATCAAACCCCTTTACCATGCCCATTCTGGGCACTAAGTGATTGGTCTGCTCTGTCTCCTGCCTGCCTGATATTCCATCCTTAGGCCTGACCAGTGCCTCTGAGTCTTTGGCTTTTCCTGTGAAACAGCAGACATACTCACAGGAGCCAACAAAAGTGACCAGAGGGAAGCTTTGGTTTCTGGTACCTAAAAGCTTCCTGTATCCAACGGACCCAGATGTCCTACAGCCTACACGGTAGAGATCCCATCCAGGGTGCCCAGGCCACCAGGCTGACTGACAGGCTGCTGCCTGACCATCCTGCTCTCCCCATGTGGACCTTGGGGCCCGGCTAGCGTTCAGGGTCATAACAGAGATAGATCTGTGCTCACCTTACCATGGTTTCTGAAGCTTTACTGTCACCCTGCAGCCCCTAGGGGGCGTTTTAACAAATCGTTCCCATGTTTTACAAATAATTCCATTGGAACTCAGTTTGCAGCAGGAGGGAAAACTACAAGCCTCATTCTGCCCTTTGCACACCATACTTAGAGCCAGGGCAGCTCACCAGTACCCTTGTGTGTGTGTGTGTGTGTGGTGGTGGTGGGGGTCCAGTCTCCCCGTTTTACAGATAAAGAGTCTGGCATGAAAGAGTAAAGAGTTCTGCATCCACACAGTGAGAAGTGGCCTATTTATTGCCTGGAAATGGTTAAAGCAGTGCTTCTCAACCTGTAGGTCACGACCCTTTGTGAGTGAAACAACGACCCCTTCACAGGGGTGGCCTAAGACCCCCGGAAACAGAGATTTGCATTAAGATTCATAATGGTAGCAAATTGCAGTGATGAAGTAGCAAAGACGATAATTTCATGGTTTGGGGCTCCACAACACAAGGAGCTGGACTGAAGGGTGCGGCATTAGGAAGGCTGAGAACCACTGGGTTAAAGTGTCTCTTAAATGTGCAACAGCTTGGAGCAAAGGAACTCTTAAGGGTTTGGTGGCAGGGACCTCAGAGAGGGGTGGCACTGACTGACTACCCCCAAAACAGCCCAGCACCTGTTTTGGCTTTTTATTAGATCTCTATAAATAATTGAGTTACTATTGATTTAGTTCATATCTAAACTCTAATTAATCTTTTTCTCTGGTGATCTTTATTTCTTTGCCTTTAAAAAAAAGAAACTTTCAAGTTTTCGGTGTTCTGTTGAATCTAGAGCTTAGTCACCATGGCAACATATTTACCTTGAAACACTGCAAACAAATTTACTAGGCGTGCCCCCTTCTAATCTTTACGAGTCATTGCGAGATTGCCGTGGAAGGGAATAAGGACGTTTGTAGATTCATTGTTTGCACAGCGGAGAGCATCTGAATTCTAGCTCTGAATTAGCTGCTGGGCTGATGTCGTGAGCATGACTAAACCCAGGATAACGATGAAAAGACAACAAAAATAACTCTGTGTTTCCTCACCTCCTCACAGCAGTGAAGTCCTAGCTGGGAAAACCTGACTAGTCACCTGCTCTTCCCCTTCCCTCTCCACTTCTCGCTTGTTGCCACCCTACAATATTTGGAGAGCACTGACATTATGAATGTGAACAAAGAAAGAATTTCTTTAGCCTACATACCCTTATATTTAAAGATGAGATGACGTCATAAAGTGCTTATATAATCCAATAATGTTGCCAAAAGCAAAAGCAAAACAAAAGAAAAAGAGGAGTCCGCATGGAGGGGACAGTAACCATACCAGGTCACAGATGAGGAGAGGTGGCCCTGACCACATGTTGAGGTAGACATAGCCACGGCATCCTACCATCAATCTTCCCACCAGGCTTATTATAACACAGCATGCATGTACACACATACATGTACACGCACATGTACACATGCATTCATATACACATACAAGGATGCGCACGTGTGCTTGTGTGCACACATACATGTACACTCACACACACTGATTTGCTTGCTTGGTTGGTTGGTTTTCAGTCCAGCTTCTTGGTCCTTGGCTCCTAGACACTTGTTGAAAAGGCAGATTGTGCCTAAGGCCTACCAGAGACAGACCCTTGGCAGACCTGCCACGGACAAGGAGTCTCACTCCTCGGAGAGAGGATTCTCCTGCTCTTGCCTCTGGGACCAGCTGATCAGCTGCAAGAGGGAGCCTTGTTTCAGCCTTTGACAACTACCAGAGGCCAAAGACCTGCAACCTTGCTCCTCCAGCTCTCTGAAAGCTTAGCGCTGTGATACTTGGAACCTCCATTGGTCGGCACCTTGCTGCCACTAAAGGCTCTAGAAAGTTCTACCTACCTGTTTGGATTGACTGCCTTGTGGCAAATGAAACTCTTCCTTGGGGCCAGAGAGACAGCTCAGCAGTTAAGAGCACATGCTGCTCTTGGAGAGGACCCAGGCTTTGTCTCAGCACCCGCATGGTTGCTCACAACCACCTGTAACTCCAGTTCCAGGAGATAAGACGCCCTCTTCTGGCCTCTTCCAGCTCCTGTGTGCTGGTGGTACACATAAACTCACACAGGCACACTCATACACTCAAAACAAACACATATACACATAAATAAAACAAAATCTTTAAAAAAAAAAACTTCTCCTTGTTTCTCCCTCCTTATTTTTTCTTTGCTTTCTGCCCACTCTGTTCTTGGAAGGAGGGTGAGATAAAAACCTAACTGGAGAACCAGCTGTCTCAAAAATACAGTCAACAGGGAAAAGTGGTTGGGAGGGACTCAGTGGAACAGTGCCTTGCCTAGCATGGTGATAGTTCAGCAAGCAAAGGCATTTGCTGACAAGACTGAAGACCTGAATTTGATCCCTGAGCCCCACGTGAGAGAAGACTCCTGCAATTGTCCTCTGACCTCCACCTAGGTGCTGTGGCATACACACACGCGAGTTCACACATGCACACACATAAACAAATGTAAGTTTAAAAACAAAACTCCCTGCCGGGTGGCGGTGACACACACCTTTAATCCCAGCGCTTGAGAGGCAGAGACAAGAGGATCTCTGAGTTTGAGGCCAGCGTGGTCTATGAAAGTGAGTTCCAGGACAGCCAGGGCTGCACAGAGAAGCCCTGTCTCAGAAAACAAAACAAAACAAAACAAAACAAAAAAGCTCTCTTCCAGAATGAAGCATCTAGAATGTGGTTAGAAATGGAAGAATCTATAAATAAAGGCTAATACAAAATTTTGTACACACACACACACACACAGTGGGCTCTGAAAGATCATCACTAGTGTCCTGGTGACCTTACATCCCAGTTCGAGGGGCCGTGCTTCATAGGAAACACACGCCCTGCCACACATTGTCCCTTTAACAGTGTGGCCACTGATTTACCACTCTCTCAGACTACGACATGAAGAAATGGTTCTGAAGATGTGCTCTGAGACCCAGCACCCCCACCACTGCCTCTCCCTTACCCCTGAGACCGCATCACCCTCTCTCCACCCTCCAGTCCTACCAAAGGGCACAGCTCATTGGCAGCTGGAGCCCCTGGCTCTTGGGAGAGATTTGGCCAGCAGCTCCATGGCCTTTTACATTTCGTCTCATTCATGCACTCTCTTTTTGGATGTAATTCTTCTAACCCATTTCCCATTGATATAAACAGTGTCTCTAGCTCTAGTCACAATAAGCAGAGCAATTTTGTGACAGAATTGCTCTGGGAATCTTGAGAGACTTCCTGTTAAGAATCAGGAAAGAAGAGGTCAGAGGTCAGTCGCTGGCCGGAAGTCACCGCCTTGGTTATGGGATGAGGGTAGAACTGCCACGATTGACTTCTGTATATTTCTCCTCTGTGTTGACCTCCCAGTCACGTTGCCTTGTGTCAATCATGAGCTCTAGGATCCAGGGCCTTGTGGGTGCCACAGGTGACAACTGACTGCCCAGAGGCTGTTTGAACGGTGCCTGCAGAGGCTCAGTGGATGATATTGGCAAGAGCAAAGGGTATGTTTCAAGTATCCAAGCCCACAAGTGCGTTGGGATCTCAGCCAGATTGCACTGGGCATCCTGGCTTTGCTGCCAATTGCAGAGGGGACGCACTGGACGTGGGCGCTTGTCCAGCCAGCCAGTCTGCGCGCCTGCAGCTTGGGTCTCTGTTGAGCAAGTCCCTGGCAGTCAGACAGACTAGGTGGACTCCTGGATCTGCTTGAGAGGCTCAATCGCCTCCCTTTGTCCTCTGTGCCCCGGAGACAGTGAAACTCTGTCCAGGGCTGTGGGATGACGTGAATTATTACCTCCAAAATTACTGAAACAAAGCCTGGCCCAGAACAGACACTCAACAAATGTCAGCTGTTGTTAGCAGAAAAGGGGAACTGGGACCAATTCAAAAGTAGGTGGGAAGCATCTGTCTAGGGCCGGGACCATCACACATCAAGGCCCCTCAGCTTCCAATGTCGCTGTGACCTTGTGCTAGGGAGGTACCAACCTATTTTGGAGTTGAAGATCCTGGCCCTTAGAAGTTGTGATCGGGCAACTGGAGGTGATGGAGCCAGTCTCTCCCCAGACTTGCTGCTCCCCGCCACACAACATTGGTTGGCATCATGAGCTCCTGTGGAGGCCAGAAAATGAAAATTCCCCACCTTAGCTTAAGCGCCTGGGCTGTAGCCAAGCTGGGATTCAAACACAGAATCTCCTGGTTCCAATGGCCCTTGCTGGAACGTCTGGGTATGGTGATACATGCATTTAATTCCAGTACTCAGGAGGCAGAGGCAGGCAGATCTTAGAGTTCCAAGCCAGCTAGGGCTACATAGCGAGACCCTGTCTTAAATAAATATATTAAATTAAAAGCCCTTTTCCCATGAGTTTATTTTCTGACTAGCTCACTGTCCAGTCTGCTTTGCAGAATGAGACAGCCTGTGTTCCTGTCCCAACCCCATCTTGCCTGACTCCACACCCTCTGGATCAGGACTCTCTGCCAGGCCCCCGTGCTAAACAGATGCGGTGCCAGAAACCCCTTTAATCACACAGAAGGCCACCTGCACCTCCTGGGCCACGTGCTGCAGCTGAGTCACACGGGTTTTGCCATCTCACCATGTAATGACAGTAAGACAGTGTTGCCCGTGTTGAATCTGGTGTGGGGTGGGGTCCCTTCCACAGTGCTGATGTTTTGTTTCAGAATAGGTACACTGCACTGAACACGGTGTTTCTGGATTTTAAAAATGCCTCCTCTCACAGATCTGCAAGACGGCTCAGCAGGTAAAGGTGCCACCAAACTAACAGCCTGAACCTGACTCGAGGAACTCTGGAAGAAGAAGAAAGTTGTTTTTGGACCTCCATATAAGCGCTGTGGTATGAGCATACAACACCCTAGACCATACACGTGCACATGTGAACATGCTCTTGAACACACACACACACACACACACACACACACACAAATAATAAATAAGTTTTTTTAATTAAAAAAATACGTCATCTCATTAAGAGCCCGAAACTCGCTCCTGTTCATCCCCACCCTATCCCAACAAAGACAGGAAGTTCTCAATTTACCAACGAATTGTGTCACTAAGATTCCTTTGTGAGGTCGCTGCTCGGATGATGGAAATGGGTCCTACATAAACAAGGCTATAAATGGACCAGGAGCCCCTCAAGCCTGGCCCCCTTTCAGTCCGCGTACCCCACCCAGGAGCCCAGGAGAGCAGACCCATGGCCTTCAACAACCCAGGAGGCAGAGATTTACTCTTGCTTGGTGCTGGCTGCTTGAGGAAGCGGCAGTCAGAACCAAACAGCTTTCCGTACAGTGGCAGGGATATCTGGGGGTCTGGCCTCAAAGCTGTTTTGTGCACTGTGACAAACAGACAGAAGCAGTCCAGGAGACCCACCGAAGGCCACACCCCCACACCCCGTGTGATGCTGAACCTTTGAGAGCCGGCCCACAGAAGCCAGGCCACAGGCAGCAGCCATACCCACACCGCACCAGCAGACTGCAGCAGTCTGAGGGTCCCACGGGAGAAGTGGAGCACCCTTCCTCCTGAACAACGGCGAACTTCAGAGGAACTACATGGGATGGGTCAAGAACTTGGCCCAGCCTCTGTTACACAGTAGGTGTTCAGTAAATAGAAGTCCCGCAGGGTTCGTGCTGAAGGGAAAGAAGCCAAGGAGAGGAGGCTCTGCTGCTGGGCCTGGCAGAGCAACTAACCAGAGAGATTTCCCGGCCCCAAGCCCTGTCCAGCGTCTCACTGAGAGTGGAGGAGAGAGACTATCTCCCAGGAACTTGGGACTGTGAACTGGGGTGAGACAGTCATCCAGGACAGCCCCAAGTCTTCTGAGAACATGAGGCCAGGTGCTGCTGAGGTTGTGAGAATATTCAGGAGTCTTCAAATTAAATAAGGCTGGTGTCCATGTGCCACCCCACCCCCCACCTGCAACTCCGGGAACAGATGTGGGCCATGTTGGTTACTGCTTCCTCTTCTCTTGTTGAAAGATGGCTGTACTAAGATCTTGGTTGTCTCAGCCGTGGACTCACGGTGCCTGCCAGGATATTTGGGACTAGAGAGCATATTACCTAAGCTGTTGAATCCAAACTTGGTGAGGCCCCCAGTCCTCTCTGAATGCCCAAACTGCTGAGGCACCGAGCTAGCAAAAGGCATCCCGTCAACATTGGTGACCTCCCTGCCAGCTACTGTGTACTGCTGTGTGCCTGCCGGCAGGTCATGCAGCTTCTCGGGGCTGTGCTTTTGCAACTGTGAGCTGCCCACAGAACTCACCTTGTGCATGAGTTATTTTGCAGATCAGCAATAAACAGTGTATGTAAGTGCCTGACTCTTGGCAGATGCTCATGGAGTGGTACTGTGGTTAACTAAGATGCCAGAACCAGAGCCAATGCTTGAGACCATGGGGTCTGAGGATGACCATCCCCTTGCAAACAGCTATTACCTGGATGAGTTGGCATCTTTAACCAGGAATTTGACACTTTTGCTCTGAAAAATGGGACAGAAACTATTGAGAGGGAATCCCTTCCTAGTGGAATTCAGAATGGCGCGATGGGAAGCCCCTCCCACCACCCTCAGCCCCAGGCCTAGCGCTGGCCCCGCCTGGTTAGTGTCTGCTAAGACTTTTGCTACAAACTGCAGACTGTCTGTGGAAGAGAAGTATGTTGTCCTCAAAACTGTGCTGTGTGGACCTGAGAAAAGTATATACCCTCTCTGACACCCAGGTCCTCATCTGTAACTCAGGGGGAAGAGGCTGACAGCCAGCTGGTCACCAGAAGGTTATGCAGTGCCTGCGAGACCGAGGCCTGTCTGCTGACAGAGTCATGTTTTCATCAGTGCCCCAGCAATACCGAAGTGCAAAATGAAACACCGGCCCTAGACAATGTGCAAAAGCTCTTGCCCTAGCTCTGAGTAGCGGAACCCTTTGCTCAAGGGGAATCTTACACAGCACCAGGCTTAGAACCCACATCAATGGGAATTGAAAGAGAGGAAGGGGACCCTAACCCTAAGCTGTCTTTAGAGAGTCCCAGGGTTTGATGAATCACCTGACAAAAGTGCTGGGGGTGTGGGGGTGTGGCTAACAAATGTCTGCAAGTGATGGAGAGCCTTGTCTCTCAGAGACCTCTGGAGAAAGAGAAACCTGCCTCTCTCTCTCTCTCTCTCTCTCTCTCTCTCCAAATGGGAGTGGAAGGTGGGAGGACCCAAGCTCCAGTGTCTCCTGGCCAGAAGCCCCTACCTGTCTTGAACAGGCGTGTGTTGAGTCTGGGGTCCTGGGAAGAGGGAAGTGGAGAAGTGAGTCCGGGTAGCTAGCTGGTGCTGGAAGCCAGCTCGCTGCCGGCTGATTATCTGATGGAGCGCTTCCTTCATCGGCGCTAATATCCATGTTGTGAAACAATGAGAGGGTTTCCTATCAGTTTCAAATAGGACGTGAAAAGCTTGGGCGCTGAGCGTAGAGGATGCGAGAATTGGGCAATGGGAAACGCCTGAGTCACTGCAGCGGCTTTGATTCCGTGGCCCAATCCTGGAAAAGGGAAAGAGGGAGAGAGTGGTTCATTAGTGACCTGGGGAGGGGCAGGAAGCACTAGCCCTTCACACAGGATCTCCCTAGAGGGCAGAGAGACATGACCAAAGAAAGAAAAGGAGCCCACAGCCTCTACCATCCACCCCATCGCCAGCATGTCTGAGCTGCCTGTCCCACCCATAACAGTTCCAATGGCCACACGTGTAAGTGTCTAGCGAGGTATACTTTGGGGATCAAGGTTGCATATATTGCCTCTGTATCGTGCACTGGCTGACCCAGGCTGCAAGGCCTCCAGGACCAGAGACTGTCTACCCACTGCCTTGTCCAGGACTGGAGCGTTCCTTTGGCTTTCCCTGCCCTTCAGAAGAGAGAGAAAGCCACGACAGTTGCCCCAAGGCTTCCTGTTCCTTATAACTACATGGGAGCTCTTTCTTCTGTGAGAAAACTAGGATGGGTGCTTCTGGCAGCAGGTGCTGGCTTCTATCCCTAGCAATGCAAAATAGAAAAGCGTTCGTCTACTAGTCTTTAAAAGACCAGACATCAGCATGCCCTGATGTGTTTGCTTATAGATTCCATAGATCCCGCAGTTGGTGTGTGCACTCAAGGACATTCAGTCAGAGTCAAACCACAGGGGCACAGCAAGATGGCTCAGTGGGTAAAAGCACTTGCCTCCAAGCCTGAGGAACTGAGTTCAGTTCCCAGGACTGCCTCCTGCCGGTTGACGTCTGACTCCCACAGAGTACTGTGGCGTGATCGCTTACATACACTCACACACACACACACACACTAAGCAAACAAAGTAATGAACGTCAAACTGCAGGGCTGGGGACGTAGCTCAGCTGGTTGAGTACTTGTTTAGTGCACATGAAGCTCTGGTTTGGTCCCCAGGTATAAACCGAACTCGGTAAATATGTGCACACCTTCCCAGTCCTCGGACACAGAGACAGGAAAACCAAAAGTTCAAGATCATCTTTGGCTATGTAGCAAGTGGGACCAGCCTGGGCTACAAGAGAACTTGCCTCAAAAACAAAATAAAAGACGTTAAACTGCAGCCGTTGTATCAGCCTCAGATCCCACGGGAGCCCTGATAGGATTCAAGGCTTTCTCATACCTCAGCGAGGAGCCACCTTCCCAGCCCATCTCAGCCCATCAGGCCCAAAACTTGTTTTCAGGATCACCGTCCTTCGGCTCAGCAAGTCTTGTAATGTTTCCAAACGGTCCCTTCTGGCTGGTGCCATGAGACGTGTCTGTCCTGAGCCTTCGCTGGCCAGCCTGCCTCTGGAGCCTGTGCATCTATCCTGTGCATCTATCCTGTGCATCTATCCTGTGCAT